ACTTCTGTCTTTTATATCTCAAGAGATTGCCTCAGGACACAATCCAGTCTAGTAGATCCAGTCCTGCCTTACTAACACAGCTGCCACCCATCCTCCCTCATTAACATCATAGAGGCAGGATTTACAACATATAGGAAAATCACACAGTACCAGGAATCATGGCCTAGCCAAATTGACACACACATTTTTTGGGGGACATAATTCAAACCATGACACCTTCTAACCTGCTTCACAGGTTGGGGGTGGTGAGGTCTTGGGCCCCAGCCTTCCCAAGCTCCGTGTCCCCAGGGTTGGGGACATCAGGAGCCCCCAGGCTTGTGCCTATCAGGGATTACTGGTGCACAGGTGAGCTCTGGAGCTGCAGATGGGTAGGACCAGGTGGGTGTCCCCTCCCTCCCCGGAGCATGTGCCCCTTGTGGGAGGCTGGGGGAGGAGGGTGGGGCACTCAGGTGAGTCCTGTGGACATCGGTCCTGATACAATGATGTGGTTTTACAAAGCAAGGTCACCTGAGTCAGTGATGGGTGAGTGTGTGGGTGACAGCCTGCAGGCGACAGGCTGCAGGGCCCTCAGCCTTGGAATCCAGGCCATGGGTGGGCTGTGGTGAGGGTCCTGAGCCCTAGGGGTCAGGGGGCACACAGACTCTGGAAAGGAGCCCCCAGCAGTTCAGACCTCATGTGACTATTAGCTGTTCCCCAACCCCACTGAAACAGGGTCACGCACTTCCTCTTGGTTGGTTGAGAGGATGTCAAGACCCTGCCCAGAGCTGAAAACTCCTGACTCACCCCTAGAGGAGCTGGGCTGAACGTGGGTCAACCACAGTATGGAACGGAACAGAAGAAGTGGTTTCCACAGTGATGGGGAGTGGGGGGGTGGGGGGTGGGGATGAAAGGAGAAGACAGGAGAGCAGGAGGGACTTGGGCCACCAACTCCTCCTCCAAGTCTAGATCTTTCTACTAGAGGCAGAGGGGCTGGAGGTGGGGCTTGGACAGCGCCAGGGCTGGAGGAGGGGTCACAGGAGCAGGGACATAGAAGGGTAACAAGCACCCAGGGGCAATCTCTAAACTGTGCCCCCCAGTTCCAGCACCCAGAGGTAATCTATAAGTTTCCCCCTCTCCCGCAATTTCAAGATGTATAGCAGCCCTGTACCAGCAGAAGCGCCTTTCACCCTTCTTGTCTGGCCGCCTCAGTAAGGCACCTTTCATATTTGTGACAACTTGGAATGTCATTCTCTGCCTCATCTGGCACCCCCCCTTGGACTTGCACCTGGGGGCAAGTGCCCCACTCTGCACACCGCCCCCCCACCTCTGCATAGGAGGGACCTGGGAAGGGCTAGAGTTAGATGGAGGGAGGGGCTGGGGATGGCCTGGGCAAGGCTGGGGCTGGGGGAGGGGCAGGATTGGGACAAGGGCAGGCGGGGGGTGGGGGGGACAGAAGGAGGGACTGGGGCAGGGCAGGGGTGGGTCAGGGAAGGGCCCGGAGGTAGTGGCAGTTCTGGGCAGAGCTTTGAACTGGTTAGGCCCAGTTCAGTCATGGCTGAGGAAGCAAAATTGGAAAACAGACACAAATTTTAAAAATTTGGGTGAATCAGAATGATAACTGGAACAGGAAAAATTACCAGTTGAAGCCTGCTAGAAACACAGTCTCCCTCTTAGAAAACAAGGGCAGCATATGTGTTGCATAGCAACCAAATCTCTTGCCTGGATTTTGAGCAGAGTTGGAAACAGCCGTGTTCTGCTCAAAGATAGCAGCTGACTGCACTCTTTTGAATGTGTGGTGCTCTCCACAGTCCTGGCAATAATCTAATCTCATGCATCAGGATCCTGAAAGGGCTTACTATGCCTCTTCCAAGTCTCTGATTCCAGTACTTTGACCTGTAATTTTTCCATTCTGGTTATCGTTCTGTTTCACCCAAATTTTAAAAATTTAAGTCTGTTTCAGTTTCACTTCATCGGCCATTACTGAACTGGTTTGAATCAGTTTGAAGCCCTGGTTCTGGGGGCTGGTAGGGGAGAAAGGAGAGGGCAGGTGGGTCTGGGGAGCAAGGAAATCCAGGACAAGCCAATAAGCCCATCTGTTTTTGTTTTTTAATGAATGTTTATGGAACAGTGTTATGGCTTTAATTGTGTCCCCAAAAGGATACATTCACATCTTAACCCACTACCTGTGAACATGACCTTATTTGGAAATAGGTCATCTTTGCAGTTGTAATCAAGTTCAGATGTTGTCATACGGCAGTCGAGTGGGCCCTAAATCCAACGACTTGTGTCCTTATAAGAAGAGGGACATTTGGACACAGAGCTACAGACACAGAAGAGGAAGCCATGTGATGATGGAGGCAGAGATCGGAGTGATGCGGCCACAAGCCCAGGAGCGCCTGGAGCCAGCAGAAGCTGGAAGAGACAAGGAAGGATCTTCCCCTGGAGCCTCCAGAAGGAGCATGGCCCAGCCGAACCTTGATTTTGGACTTCTGGTCTCCAGAACTGTGACAGAATAGATTTCTTCTGGGTTATTTTTGTTTTTGAAGTATTTTATTTCAAAACAAGCAGCCGTATTTTGAAACAGAATGCAAATTTTATATGGAATTTTAAGGTAATACGTCAAAAAAATTCCCATTTCTAGAGGACTGCTTAGGCATAGGCTTTGTGTGGATGTGCTCATCCCCCACTGCTCGGTATGTTTGAGAAGTACTGCTCATTGGGATGACATGAGGACTGAACCAGGTAAACTACGCAAACACATAACCAAGCCGGGAACTGTGTAAACACTTAACCAAGCCTGAATGAAGGTGGTTTTTCAATAATTGTTCTCTCCCTTTCCTCTCAATAAATATTTATTTCTTTCCTTTCCAAGGATTTGAGACTTAATTTATTATAGTGGTTCTCAAAGTAAGGTCTTAGGACCAGCAGCATCAGTATCTCTTGGGAACTTGTTAGAAATGCAGATTTTCGAGTCTACCCCAGACTTACTGTTACGGATTGAATTGTGTCCCCGCAAAATGTGTGTCAACTTGGCTAGGCCAGTATTGTGTGATTGTCCACCATTTTGTCATCTGATGTGATTTTCCTATGTGTTGTGAATCCTATCTCTATGATGTTAATGAGGCAGGATTAGAGGCAGTTATGTTAATGATGCAGGACTCAGTCTACAAGATTAGGTTGTGTCTTAAGTCAATTTCTTTTGAGATATAAAAGAGAACTGAGCAGAGAGACCTCATACTACCAAGAAGCACTGGGACCATAGCGTGTCCTTTGGACCCAGGGTCCCCGGGCAGAGAAACTCTGAGACCAGGGAAAGATTGATGAGAAGGACCTTCCTCCAGAGCCAACACAGAGAGAATTTGGACTTCTAGCCTACTAGATTGTGAGAGAACAAACTTCTCTTTGTTAAAGCCATCCACTTGTGGTATTTCTGTTACAGCAGCACTAGGTAACTAAGACACCTGCTGAGTGAGAAACTCTGGGGGTAAGGCCCAGAAATCTGGGTTTTAATAAGACCTCCAGGCTATAGAGATGTATCTTTTCTTCATGTATTTTGTAATTGATGTTTTGATAGTACCTTTCACTTTTTGAAATGTTATTGTAGCCTACAATCGTATGAATGAACAAAACTTTCTGATTCTTTATGCCATAGTTTTCCCCATTGCTGACTTCCCTTATTATTTTTGAAATAATATTATTATTGAATCATATTATTAATATCATTATAATAATGGTATTATTATATCATTATTATCATACTACCATCATCATTACCTGCACTATCTTGGCTTCATATTTTTGATGAAAAAGTTAAATATAAAGGGTTTTTTTTTTTTTTTGGTGAGATTGTTGAAGTAATAATTCCTACCTTCCTTTTCTGTACTGCACAAAACTCCTTGAGCAATATAGCATTCTCCTGATTGATCTCTTCACATTTCTTAATGTAATTAATAAATTGTGACTTATAGCTTTAATAAAACTTAGGTACCCTAGTTGCAACTGCCAGGGAAAGCTGTTCTAATATCAAGGCAAACTATCCTTCTTTAGCATAGAATGTTTAAGGTAGGGGTGTGTCAAACAGAATCACGTGTGTGTGTGTTTTGATATTTTCCCAGCAGTAGCTGAAGTCAAGGACCAGGAGATTCAGGGCCCACTTGGAGATCTCATGGTAAGGCAATAATAACTTCCTAAAACAAAACAAAAAATCCAAACTCATTGCAGTTGAGTCGATTCCAACTCATAGTGACCCTATAAGACAGAGTAGAACCGCCCGATAGGGTTTCCAAGGCTACAATCTTCATGGAAGCAGACTGTCATATCCTCTCATGGAGCGGCTGTTGGGTTCAGAACCGTCAACCTTTTGGTGAGCAGCTGAGGGCTTTGGATTTCTTCTCTTTGAAGCCCCCCCAGCATGTGGTACTTTGTCCAGCAGCCCTAGCACACTCACACAAACAGTTTCCTGGGGCTCAGAAAATCCCAGCAGCACAAATGGGCTCACAATGAGAAGCAATGCCCAAGTCCCACCCCCAGGCAGCCTCACCCAGCACCAAGCATCCCAGGGTGGGGGCCTGGACATCGAAAGTCACTCAAGTGGGACCCCGTGTTCCCAGTGTTTCTGTGTCTTCCCTGCCATGTCTGGGGTCCCCCCCATGGCACAGTGTCATCCCCAGTGGGGGGCTGTGCACCCCACTTTATGCTGCAGAAATGTCCTGTACAAACATCTTCCTGGGGACGTCCAGGGTGTTCCCAGACCCGGGGCCCCTGAGTCAGAGGGTGGAAACAACTTCCCCCATCATCTGCATTGAAGGTGGCAGGGGTCCCAGTCCCAGGTGTCTTTGGTTATGTGTCTGTAAGATGTGGGCGTGGGCTGAGTTTGTCCTTGATGTGGTACAAACAAGCTCCCTGGGCCCAAAGACCTCTCTGGCCTGGTTTCCCCCGGAGCTGGGGCAGGGCCCTCCTATCTCCACCTGGACCAGCATGGGCCGTCACCGCACTGGATGCTGCCCAGGACTCTGCTTCATCACTTCCTGGCTGGTCAACAATTCCCCGGGTGTGTGACTAGATTACGGCTGCCCTTGGGGGAAACGGCTCCCTCTAACCCCAGACCCCCAATGCCACAAGCTGGCCCTCCTGCCCCCAGTTCTCCCTTGTGGCCTGGCCGTGACCACAGGGCTCTCCCAGGCCAGGAGGGGTGTGGGCTGGAGAGAGAAAGGGTGCCTACCCTCGAAGCCTCTATTTCTTCATCAGCACAGAGGGTGCCCTCCTTGCCCAGGGAATGGATGTCACATCCCCACAGGGGCCTGGCCGCCAGGATGGGAGGACCCCTGGGTGAGGGATGTGGAGGCGCAGGAGTAGGAAAGGCCTCCCTTGGGCTGGGGCTGAGGCTGGGGCTGGGGCCGAGGGTGGGGCCAGGACAGGGGCTTCAAGAGCTGGGGTAGCAGATCCCGGGGCAGCACATGGTCACTCAGCAACTCTGGCTAAGAACCACGCTCCTCTTCACTCTCTCTCCTTAGCAGACCCCAGACTCACCAGGTGCCCCCCCCACCCCTGCACTGCCCTTTCCTCCTGTCCATAGAGGACGAGGTGCCATGGATGTCCCTCCCATCGCTGACCTCCAGCCTGGGGACTGGGGGAGCAGAGGCTTCAGGAAGGCTGTCGTGAGAACTGGGGCTGCAGACATGAATGATCAGCAGGAAGTGACCACTTGGGCCACAGATGCTTCCTGGCTTGGGAGGGGCCGAGCAGCCCAGGGCAGGCCCCTCCCCATCTTACTGGGCCCCATGAGGAGCCTCAGCTGGGCGGAGTGACCTTGGCCTGCCCAGTCCTCCTTGGCTGTGTCCTAGGCCTCCCTCCGGCAGGATTGGGGTGGAGGACAGGAAGGGGTCTTCCTGGTTTATCTCCTGGCTGTCCACCCTCCAGGGCAGAGGCAGGAAGCCGGGGCGGATATCTGTGGGCAGTAAGCTGAGGGGCCCAGACCGCCAAGCCTGTTAGCAGTGACATGTTGGGGCTCCTGCTGCTCGGGGCCTTGATACTAGGGCTCAACCCTGCTGGCGACACCCGCACCCCCAGCGTCTATGACGAGACCTCCGAGGACTGGAGCACAGGTGTGGCTGATGGTGAGTGAGGGGCACAGAGAGAGGCTGAGAGGGATGGGGCCCAGAGCTGGGGGTGGGGGGCAGGGGGAAACTGAGAGGTCCTTCAGCCCCATCACCCACCCCGGGCCCTGACCCAGTGGGGCTGGGGGCATCTGAATCCTGAGAGCTGGGGCCTGGACTGTAGTCCCCAAGAGGCCAGCTCCCCCAGCAGATACAAGGGGGCAAATGAGGGGGGCGACACGAGAAGGGCAATAGATTCGAGGGGGGACACACGAGAGTGGCTCAGGGGTCCGGGGTGGGGCACGGGCAGTTGAGGAGTCCAGGGTGGACATGAGCTACAGATACTAGGGAGTCACTAGAAGTGGACACAAGGAGGGGCAGCTGACAGGTCTGGGGTGGACACTGGGGTATGGACGAGGGGCCTGAGGGGGACACAAGGAGGTGGCTCCAGAGTCTGGGGAACACAAGGGACAGATACCAGGGAATAACTAGAGATGGACACAAGAGGGGACTCAAGGGAGGACGCCAGGAGGGCAGCTGAGGGGTGCTGGATGGATACCAGGGGCAGACACCAGGGTGTCACCAGGAGCAGACACAAGGGGTGCCACAAAGGGCAAACAGGAGGGCAGCTGAGGTGTCTGGGGCTGGTGCCTCGGGCAGATAGGGGGTTGGGTAACACCAGGGGGGACACCAGGGACAGACCCCAAGGAAGGGGACAGGAGGGGCAGACGCCAGGCTCTAGTGTAGCCCCCTGTGTCCTCGGCACCCATCCCTTCCTTTCCGTGGTGGCTGACGCTGCTCTCCCCCCAGACCACCCAGAGGTGACGGCCCCGCACCCGCCCTGCCCGCGCAGCTTCCCCGGCCGCCTCTGCTCCAACGACAGCAACACCCTGCTACTGCCGGACAGCTCACAGACGCTCCTGCTAGGCTGGGTGCCAACGCGCCTGGTGCCCGTGCTCTATGCGCTGGCTTTGACTCTCGGGGTGCCGGCTAACGGGCTGGCGCTGTGGGTGCTAGCCACGCGCGTGCCGCGCCTACCCTCTACACTGCTGCTCGCGAATCTGGCGGCCGCCGACCTGCTGCTGGGCCTGGCACTGCCGCCACGCATCATCTACCATCTGCGCGGCCAGCGCTGGCCCTTTGGCGAGGCTGCCTGCCGCCTGGCCACAGCCGCGCTCTACGGCCACATGTACGGCTCACTGCTGCTGCTGGCTGCTGTTGCCCTTGACCGCTACCTGGCCGTAGTGCACCCGCTGCGCGTCCGCGCTCTGCGCGGCCTGGGTCTGGCCACCGGGCTCTGCGCCGCCGCCTGGCTGGCGGCCACCGCGCTGTCGCTGCCTCTCGCACTGCAGCGACAGACCTTCTGGTTGGCCGGCGCGGGCTCGGACCACCACCTGCTATGCCACGACGCGCTGCCACAAGAAGCGCAGCTCTCGCACTGGCGGCCTGCCTTCGCCTGCCTGGCGCTGCTTGGCTGCTTTACGCCGCTGCTTGCCATGGTGCTGTGCTACGGCGCTACGCTGCGCGCGCTGGCCGCCGGCGGCAGGCGCTATGGTCATGCGCGGCGCCTGGCAGCCCTTGTGCTGGCCTCGGCCCTGGCCTTCTTCGTGCCCAGCAATGTGCTGCTGCTACTGCACTACTCGGACCCCGGACCGCGCGCCTGGGGCAACCTCTACGCCGCCTATCTGCCCAGCCTGGCGCTCAGCACCCTCAACAGCTGCGTGGACCCCTTCGTCTACTACTATGTATCGGCCGAGTTCCGTGAAAAGGTGCGCCATGCGCTCCGTCGACTGGCGCCTGGAAACGCTGGCGGGAGTTCCAAGGCCTCCGGGGAAGGGGGCGGTGCGGGGACCGGCACCCCCTCTACTTCGTTGGTGTGACCGCCCTGCAGATGGGATGCGGAGCCCCAGGCCAGCCGAACCTCCAGACTAGGAGGAACCCCCCCCCCACGCTAGCCAGACCCCTGGCCCTGCTGGACCCCCGGACCAGGTGGACTCTGGGACGGACTACAGTTAAGCCCCCTCCGAGACAGAGGCCCCTGGCCCGCTACAGGACCCTGTTCAGGAGGAGGCCCGGCTGCCACCGTCTCCCCCAACCCCTCATTGCCCCGGCGGCAGCGGCTCTCACCCCCAGCAACCCTGGTTCCAAATGTGGGCCAGGCCCAGGGTTTAGGGCATCTCCTGAGCAATCAAAACGGAGCCCTCCTGGTGGTGGAATGTTTTGGATAACAGTGGCACAACATGAAAACGTAATCAGTTATTGAATTGTAAATGTGGAAGCTGTGCTGGCGAATGTTTTGGTGTGTATGCTTTCACCACAATAAACGAAACGAAACAAACCAGAGCCCCTGACTCTGCCCTGAAGCACCAATTCTGTCATGGGGGAGACAGGGCCTAGTCTCCTTCTTCTCTGTCTCCAGGGCCCCAGAGACTTCACCTTCTCCTCTTAACCTGTCTTTGACTTCTCGCCTTGATGTTAACTTCCCCAGCGACTAGGTAGGGCCCGTGCTGGCTCCTGGGGGCCTGGTGCTTGGACCTGTAGTCCTGCGACCCCCCCTCTGCAGTGCCCTGGTCTGCTGGTAAGCCCCAGCCCCATTCACTCCAATACCATGAGCCACTTGGAGCGCGGTGTTGGAGCTGTAGGGCACAGACTGTACCAGGAGGGGAGTGGGGGCCTTCCTGGCTCCCCATTGAGTCTACGCTGCCAGTGAGCCCAGCCTTGTGGGGCTGGGAAAGTGTGAGCCGGTGAGCAGGGTGACCCCAAGCTAGGGCGTCCGGGTGCCTGGAGACATACACACACACACATACACACTTGCACACACATACACACTTGCACACACATACACTAGCGCTCTCTCTCCTACACACATACATTCATTTAAACCAGTTGCCATTGGGTAGATTCTGACTCATGGCGACCCCATGTATTACAGAGTAGAAGTTCGCTCCATAGGATTTTCTTGGCTGTAATCTTGCCAGAAGCAGGTCGCCAGGCCTTTCTTCCAAGGCACCTCTGTGTGGGTTCAAACTGCCAATCTTTCAGTTAGTAGCTGAGTATGTTTACCGTTTGCACCACCCAGGGACTCCCAGAGTCATACAGACTCTCACGAGTACATGTAGTCTGAGTAAGTTTGGTGGCTCCTTATCAACATCAGTATCCTGGCTGTGACATTCTAGAGTTTTGTAAGATGTTAATTAATTGGGTGAACTGGGCGAGGGGTGACCCGGACCTTCTATGTGCAATTTCCTACACCTGCATATGAATCTAGGGTTATCTCGGGGTGCAAGTGTGTGTCTTCCATGAACACCACCCTCGCCCAGCTCTAAAGACCTGGGAACGGAGTCCACAGCTGTGGGGGAGTCGCAGCTCCAGCTGAGGCCTGCGGGCCCCTACCCAGCTAGGGGGAGGGCCCTCTGGTCCCCGTCTGTGGCTGAGCCCCCATAACCTGCAAGAGGACGCCGCCATCTGTGACACCGGCGGAAACGAGCTTTTATTAAACCACAGCCTCCATGTTTGTTGCGGAAAACTCCAGCCGCGAGGCCTATCCTTGTGGGCCCACAAGGGCAGGGAGGGCAGGGGAGCTGTAAGTGGCAAGGGTCGCTGTGCCTCCGGGCGGAAAAACAGCGACAACAGAGTTGGCTGAAATAAATACGACCGCGGAGAACAGGCGCAAACGCGCCGGGGGCAGACCCGCGCGTTCTCGCGCATTCTCTTGGCGAGTACCGGAGCAGGCGCTGGGGGTGGCCTGGGAGTCCTCCCGGAAGGCACGTACGACCTCGCGGCGCTGGGAAGGGAACGGTCCTCCAGAGTCGAAGCGGCGGGCCGGTCCTGGGCCCGGAGACCGGGGCTGGCGGGGATTTTGGGGCGAGGGGGACCGCAGGTTGCCCTAGACCTGGGGCTTCACAAGGCCCTGTGCTAGCATCGCCAAACGTTCAGTGGTCCCCAGGAGAGGGTGGGGAAGGGAGTCGGGGTGGGGTGGGGGAGGGGCCCTCGGGGCGAGGGCGGAGGTGGGGAGGGGCCCTTGGTGGGGGCGGAAGTGGGGAGGTCACCCAGGACAACCTGGGGCCCTCCAGCTTCTGAGGCACCAGTCAGGGGCTCAGTGGCCAGGAGCCCCAAACGGAGGCCTGGGCTTTGTGTTGTGGAAAGAGGCGGCATGTTAATTTCAGAGTTGCTGATGGAGGGATGCATGCTGTCTCCTGAATTTGGCCAGGTGCCTGTCCCCCTCAGAGAGAGGGCTTTGGCCAGGAGCCCCTCTAAGGAATGTCCCTTCTCCCCATAGCGAATTTGGGGTGTGGGAGCTGCCTGCTCAAGGAAGGAGATGCCCCAGCACCAATGCTGGGGGAGTCTGGCACTCCAGCTGGGAGGAGTGGGGGTGCCCCACCCTCAACCAGCCTCCAGCACCCCACTGTCCCTCCCGCTGAGGGTGAGGGTGGCTGGGCGCCAGGAGACCCTATGTAGAGGCCAACAGGCAGGGCAGGTCTCTGCCGATCTGCTTATCAGCTTCATTTGGAAGTAGGTGTTACCTCCCACCAAACAGTAGCTGGAACTTTCCAAGGGACAGGTCAGGGTTGACTGGAACAGGATGAGGCTCCAAGCAGGTGGCCATTAGGAGGAGAAGCTGCTCTGACTAACAGGGAGAGAAAGACAAAGATGCCCGTGGTGCTGCCAGGCCTTCCCCACACCTGCCTCCACATGGCTCAAGCCCAGCTGCCGCTTCCCCCCTAAACAGCAGACCCCACCCTCAGGACCCTGCTCCCCCCACCCCACCCCGGGCCATAGCGATGGGGTCTGAGCGAACAGCTTCTAGTAACAGCCCAGCAGCTTGTATGGGACGAACCCTCCCATAGCTGACCAGCATTAACTCAGGACAAAGGAGAAACCACCTGGACAATTCTACTCCCACAAACTCCCAGTTTGTCGTACTGTGGTGGCTGGCCTGTTGCTGTGATGCTGGAAGCTATGCCAGGACTTGAAGCACTTACTGATAAAGATCAAAGACTACAGCCTTCAGTAGGGAATACACCTCAACACAAAGAAAACAAAAATCCTCACAACTGGACCAATAAGCAACATCATGATAAACGGAGAAAATATTCAAGTTGTGTTAAGGATTTCATTTTACTTGGATCCACAGTCAACACCCATGGAAGCAGTAGTCAAGAAATCAAATGACGTATTGCATTGGGCAAATCTGCTGCAAAAGACCTGTTTAAAGTGTTAAAAAGCAAAGATGTAACTTTGAGGACTAAGGTGCACCTGACCCAAGCCATGGTATTTTCAGTTGCCTCATATGCATGTGAAAGCTGGACAGTGAATAAGGAAGACTGAAGAAGAGCTGATGCCTCTGAATTATGGTGTCAGTGAAGAATATTGACTATATCATGGACTTCCAAAAGAACGAACATATCTGTCTTGGAAGAAGTACAGCTAGAATGCTCCTTAGAAGGGAGGATGGTAAGACTTTGTCTTACATATTTCGGACATGTCATTAGGAGGGACCAGTGCCTGGAGAAGGACATCATTCCTGGTAAAGTAGAGGGTCAGTGAAAAAGAGGATGACCTCAATGAGATGGATTGACCCAGTGGCTGCAACAATGAGCTCAGACATAGCAACGATTGTGAGCATGGCGAGGGACCGGACAGTGTTTCGTTCTGTTGTACATGGGGTCGCTATGAGTCTGAACTGACTTGACAGCACCTAGCAGCAATGACAACATTCCCTCTGCCCGGAAACCCCTGCTCCATCTGCTCACCTCACGTGGATCACACTCATTCTTCAGGTATCACTATTGACAATATCACCTCCAATTTGCCTTCCGTAAGGCCAAGGCAAGGAGGCCTGATGGCGCAGTGGTTAAGCGCTTGGCTGCTAACCGAAAGGTCCAGTTGCTGTAAGGGAGAAAGATGTGGCAGTCTGCTTCTGTAAAGATTACAGCCTAGGAAACCCTATGGGGCAGTTCTACTCTGTCACACATGGGGGCAGCTTGCGTGTTCCTCAGACCCCATGACTCATTGGCCGTGTGACCTCGGGCAAGGTGGCCTCAGTTTCTCCACCTGCAAGTTGGAGATAACAGTCATCCCTGCCCTGTGGAGTTGTTGTGAAGGTTAAATAAGTTCCTGGATATCAAACACTAAAAAACAAAACAAAAATAACCAAACCCATTGCTGTCCAGTCGATTCCATCTCATGGTGATCCTGTGTGTTACAGAGTAGAACTGAGTTCCATAGGGTTTTCTTGGCTATAATCTTTAAGGAAGCAGACTGCCAGGACTTTCTTCCATGGTGCCACTGGGTGGGTTCGAACCAACAATCCTTAGGTTAGTAGTCGAGTACAAACTGTTTGTGCCACCCAGTGAGTGAACTAAATACATACACACAGCAATGAGTGCTTGGAAAACCAGTAAGATCTGAGTAAGATCGGGGGGTCGTATCGGTGTCATTTTCTGGGCCGTGATTGTACTATAGTTCTGGAAGATGTACCACTGTGGGGAATTGCGTGAAGGGTCTGGGGTCTCTGTATTATTTCTTAACAACTACGTGTGAATCTATGATTATCTCAACACTTAATAATAATAAAAAGGAATCTCCTTCAAGAAAACCCAAAACTCCCTGCGGGCACTGGAGGTAGTTGGCAGACAGCGGAGGAGGGTGGGCATCATTTGGGAGCAGGAAGGGCACCTGGTAAATTTCCTGTTTTTACCTCCTTTTGTCTAAGGGCAAGCACCAGTTGGTGGCCCTTGGAGAAACTAACACTCCAATAGAAACCTGCAGTCTTGCTAGCTGAAGAATCAGAGGACAGAGTTGGCGGCAGGGAGGAGCCAGGGAATCCAAGAAAGGGGAGGGCCTTTCTGAGAGAGGGAGCCCAAAATTCTCCATCAATT